GGCAGCCTCACCGTTTGTTATTCTGTGCAGATCTTCAATTCCCAAAGCACGCTGTTTATCCACGAAGTTTAACCCTTCTTCATAGTGCAGAAAACACCCCCGCACAGTTACCAAACGTTACCTATATATTTCATTTGTTTAACTATTTTCTAGTTTCGTAAAATTTTCTATCTTAAAAGGATAATTTCACGATTTAATCATATCTCATTATATAAAATAGAATTTATAAGGAAATCTTTACATAAATCCACTACATTGTATTACTTCACTGTACGGTAGTATTTTGGAAAATTGATAAAAAGTTAGGCTCCGTTTGGTGGAGTTTTCAAATTTTAGTTCCACACTCACTTTTGAGTATGGTGTTTGTTTATGGTTTTCAAATCATAATTCTACACTCATTTCTCAAAACTCAATTCAAAACATAATCATTACTTTTCAAAACTCATAACCAAACACATAATTCAAAACTCTTTTCAAAACTCCATTCAAATCAATATTTTAAAAATATTTTAATTTTGTTAAGATTTTAAATATTTTAATATTTAAATATGTTACGATTTTATTAATTTTTTAATTTTTTTAATTTTTTGAATATTTTTAATTTTTTTAATTTTTTGAATATTTTTAAATATTTTAATTTTTAAATATTACGATTTTAATTTTTTAAATTTTAAAATATTTTATAAAAATAAATTCAAACTCTATTTTATAAAAATATTTTTAAATATTTTAATTTTTTTGTTATGTATTTGGTTACGATTTGAGTGTAGAGTTGTGAAAGTAGTATGGAGTTTCGAGTTATGTGTTTGGTTATGAGTTTTAAAAATAATTTTGTAATTGAGTTTTGTTTTATGTGTTTGGTTACGATTTTAGTATAGAGTTGTTTTTAAATTTAAAATATTAAAATTTTAAATTATTTTAATTTTTTGAATATTTAAATTATTTAAATTTTTACGATTTAAAATTTTTGAATATTTATTTTAATTTTTTACTTATTAAATTTTTTAGATTATTTAAATTATTTAAATATTTATGATTTAAATTTTTTGAATATTTATTTTGAAAAAAAATTATTTCCTTTGTAGTATTTTCAATTAAAAAATTGATTAATGTTATTTTTTGTTAATAATAAATTTTTTTAATTGAATTTTAAAAAGAATTTGGTTATGAGTGTTGATCAAAATTTTCAATAATGTGAAAGTAATGTGTTTTGTTATGAGTTATAGCAATTTGAATTAAGTTTTGAAAACTCTTTTCAAAACTCATAACCAAATAAATTTTCTTACTTCACATGTCAAATCAAAGTTTCAAAACTCAATTCTACACTCAATTCAATACTTTATTCAAAAACCATAACCAAACAAATTTTCTACACTCAAATCATAATTCTAAAACACACGAACTCAAAATACAACTCATATTCTCAAATCATAGTTACAAAGCTCTACCAAACGGAGCCTTAATTTTTTTGACTTTTTTGCTTAAAAAATTGGTTTTTTTGTGGTTTTTTTTTTTTGTAAAAAAGTTAAAAAGGCAAAAAATTGACTTTTTACCATGTTCCCAAATTGCCCCCAATAATTTATAAGAGTTGAGTTCCGTCCAGCTCATGTTGTTCATATTTGTAGATTTTATTATGAGTTTCATTTCAATAGTTCAATCGTTTATTTTGTCGAACTTTTCGTATATATTATATATTAAAAAAAAATGTTAATTTGATAATTGTAACCAATTTAATTTATTATATTTGTTTAAAAAAAATGAACGATAATTATATTTTTTAAAATAGACAATCCATTTGTTTGGTGAAAAATATGACAAATTAAATAGGTTATAATTATCGAATTAACTTAATATTTTGATACACAAAAGATTTTATTAAACGAACAATTTAAATTATCAAAATAAGACTCATGGAAACAACACTCTTTAGTTTAAACAGCAGGAAAACCTAGTCCATAATTATGTTGCTACTTTGGTAGAGTGTGGCGATTATTTTATTAATAACTTTTAGAATAATGTTTAAGGGCTTGAAATTAGAGGCTCGAATTTGGCTCGAAACCCAAAACGACGTCGTTTTGGGTTTCAAAATTTTTTTTTTCCTCTTCTTCGTTGAACACAGGAGAAGAGTAGAGATGAGAGAGAGAAACAGAGTCGTCGTTGTCGGCATCGCAGCTTGTCGGCCGATCGTCGCTCGTCGGCATCGCAACCCCGCCTCCACCTCTGCCTCTGCCTCTGCCTCTGCCTCCGCCTCCGCCCGCCGCCGCCTTTGCCTCTACCTCCACCTCCGCCCTATTTTGTTGGCCCCTCCAGTCTAGTTCTTCTTCTCCTTCTCCTCCTCCTCCTCCTTCTTTTTCTTCTTCTTCCCCTAATTTTGAGCCAAATTTAAGCTCCTATATTCGGGCTCTGTACCGGGGTTGTAACTTTTATTTTACTTTTAATAATTTTTTTTTAAATCAAAATATTTTATAGGTTTTACTAGATATAATTTTTTTTTAAATCAAAATATTTTATACGTTTTCCTAGATTAGACGGATTTAAGAAGAAAAATAAAAAAAATAAAATATGAAAAATCCTATTAAAACAAAAATTTTATTTTATTTTTATTTTAAGTGAACTCTTTTTTAAGGTTATTTTTTTTAAAAAAAAACTTTTTAGATCCTTTTAGATTTGACGGACTGGAAGGGGAGGTTACTGTAATTATTCAAACTACATGGGAGGTCCCTGTATTTGTCAGAAATTTCAAGGGAGGTAAATGTAATTTACCCTAAATAAAAAAATTAAATTTAAATTAATAGAATTAAAAATTTAGAATTTATTTTATTATAAAATTCAAATATTAAAATTTGATTTTATAATTATTCCTAAAAAAATTTAGGGCTAGTTTGGCATATACTAAGGGCTAGTTTGGCATGTACTAAATAAGTTAAAAAGTCAAAAAGTCACTATCTTATTTAAGTCACATCATCTTATTTAAATCACATCACCTCTCTAACACATCACATCAAACCCAACCCAAACCTACCAATAAGTTAAAAAGTGCACTTTTTTAGGACATCCCAAACTAACCCTAAATAAGTCAAAAAGTCAAAAAGTCACTATCTTATTTAAGTCACATCATCTTATTTAAATCACATCACCTCTCTAACACATCACATCAAACCCAACCCAAACCCAACCCAAACCCACCAATAAATCAAAAAGTGCACTTTTTTAGAACGTCCCAAACCAATCCTTAATAGTTGAGCAGAGTGCAAGGCCCTAACATTTGAGTCCAACTTCCGCGCCACCTACCATCCACAACCGTACGAAACATTATCCGCACGACCCGACCCAGTCCATTGCCAACCTTAAATGGATCCGAATCGGAGACAAGTTCGGATCTTCTCAGAAATGTCGTTACGAAACGACAAAAACACGCTAATGGCAATCTGGTAAATCCAGATATCAATTGACATTTATTTGATCCCGGGCAATGTTAAGGGCGAAAAGTTAGGAGTTTTATTTTCACACCATTTAATTATCTTGATACACATATTTAATAAAATATTATTTAAATAATAATTATATTTTAAATTAAAATGATTATAATAGATATTTACTAACACTCACAATATTATATGAAATATTTTTTGTATACATTTTTAAAAATAAAAAAAATCTCATTGTAGGTCTTTTGACCGAAAAAAAAAAAAAAAAAACTAAACTATAGTGTGTGTGTGTCTTCAATGGAGCATTTCTTGGGAACAACCACGGGAATCTGCAATTCCACTTGAGGATTGGATTAAAACTAGTAGTAACACAAATTCTGGTGATGATGCTGGGGACTCAGAAATAGTTATCACAATATCAGTGGTTGTTTAGTTGAGAGTTCCAGAAAGGAGATATGAAACAGTTGGTGAGCTTGTGATAGCATTGATATATGGAATATGTAGTGATTCTGGGAGCAATGATGAGGAAAAGAGGTTCAAAGTTGCAAATTTACATGTGGGAGGTTTGAAAGTGAGGAGTAGAAGGAAGAGGAATGAGTGGCATATGGATTGGGAAAGACGGCAGGAGCAGGAAAAACGGCAAAGTATGGATTGTCGAAGGGCCCTGATTTATTGTGAAGCATTTCCTCACGGGTAATGGCCGATATATGGCTCAAGCCAAATCTGGAAGATTTTCAATGAAGGTTCAATAGAGTCTTTAGTGAAGGAAGAGTGTCTTCATTTCACTTCAAACTTTGGTTTCAAGGGTCTTCATGTGGGTGGGTCTACAAATGTAATAGGACCAATTAAAAAGTGTGTGGAAATGAGGGTTAAGTAGTGTGTATACAATTGTTATGAGTGAATTGTATAATTGTAATTTTTAGTGCGTGGATTGAAAAAATTAATTAATAATCAAATTAATAGATATGTGTATTGAGAAAAGATGTACACTAAAATCATTAAGTGTGGGGAATAAAATTTCTCCCGAGAAGTAAACGAGCTTCCTGCTCAAGATCAAGTAGTTTTATTTACACACCGCAAGGCAAATCTCAGCCCATGTCATTTATATTTTAACAATATTATGAATTTAAGTTTAATTATTTAAAAATTAGTTAGAATTATTATATTGTGATTCAGATTTATTCTACTTATGATTCGTTTGAGAAGTATGTTGGCTTTTTGACTTTTTGGCTATTTTAACCTGGGACTAAAAAGTCTCATTTGGAATGAACTTTTTGGTTTTTTTAACTTTTATGAGAGAAAAAAATGTAATGATTATTGATTGAATGTGATGTTTTGTCTTATTAGACTAAAAAGTCTATTTTATTTTTTTTAACTATTTTAACAAAAAAAAAACCCCCAAACCTAACTCCTCAAACAAGCTTTTATAAATCTATATATATATATATATATGTATAGCAACGAAGGTGAATGAATTACCTCTTTGCTAGCCATTCAAAAGTTATAAAAATTAAATGAAAATCAAAATTAAATAAAAAGAAAAAAGAAAGAGTAAAGACTTAAAGAATACAGAGATTCCTATAAGAAAAAACGAAGACGACGAAACAGAGAGAGAGCTGTGTGAGAAAGAGAGAGAAGAAAAAAAAAACCCTAGCCTTCTCTTTTTAAAAAAACACAAATGGAGGGACATGAGAGTGTTTGAATTAAAGCAAAATCATGGTAGAGAAGGAGCTGAAATGGACTACTTTGGAGGAGCTTTTGCTAGCGTGCGCCGTGAAACGCCATGGCCACAAGAACTGGGACTCTGTCGTCATGGAACTCCAGAACCGAACCTCTTTCTCTCTCCTATTGACCGCTCCAGTTTGCAGAAATAAATACTACGACCTCAAACGCCGCTTCATGGACGAACACGATGACGATGACGATGACAAAGAGGTTGATACTATTCCCTGGATTGAGGAGTTGAGAAAACTCCGAGTCGCTGAGCTCAAACAAGAGCTTCATCGATACGATCTTTCGATCCAGTAAATCTCCTCATTTTTTTCAAAATTTTCCGCTTAAAAATTTAAAAATTTTAATATATACAATCGTGTATGTGTTATAGACAACATAATGATATGTAATTCATGTATTTGTGTTTGGATCTGAGAGAGTCCGATCTGTATATTCAACAGTTCGTTGCAGTCGAAGGTGAAGAGATTGGAGGAAGAGCGCGAAAGGAGCTTGAAGGAGAACGAAAACGACGACGAGAAACCAGATCTGGAGAAGGATTTGAAGGAGGAGAGATCGGAAAACGAAAAAAACGACGGCGACGATACGCCGGAGAAGGTCGCCGTCGGTGGCTCAGACCGGTCGGTGAACGAGTCCAATTCGGCTGCGGTGAATGAAGAACGGAGAGATGCGATCGAGGCCGGAGACGTTAAACCGGATCCGGCATCGAGTGATTCGAAACCGGCCGGTGCGGATTCGTATAACGATAGCACGGATACGGTGGCTAAGCACGCGGCGGCGAGGACGAGTCAGGAGGAGAAAGGTGGTGGTGATCCGGCGGAGTTGCGGCGGGACATGGCGGCCGCGGCGGCGGGGGAATCGAAGGAAGGGACAAAAGAGAGCAGCGACGTGCAGAGCACGGCGAGTTTGACGAGGAAGCGACACCGTGAGAAGGAAGTTTCCGGCGGGAGTAGCGGCGGAGGAGGGGACGAGCCGGTGGTGTCTCCCGCCACCACCATCAAGCGGGGAGCGGTGAAATCGGAGCCGTTGGTTGGTCTTCTAGATATTATCCGATCGCACAAACACGGCTCGATGTTCGAGCGCCGGCTCGAAAGCCAGGTATGTTCCAGTACTACTCTCTTTCAAATTATACGCTGCATCACACCAATCTCATCTAATATCTACCGTTCGTTTCCGTATCATGATTTCTAACAATTGGGACCACCTTTGCTTCGTTATTTCTTAGTAATTTACTACTTTGTTACATGTCCAATCGCTAATCGTTCAAAATGAATTTGCATGTTGAAATTCCGAAAATGATCCAACGGCTAATATTCAATAGAGTAACGAGAGTACATGGCATTCACGTATCTTGGTCCACTTTAAAATTTTTTATTTTTCTTTTTTAACTTTATAAATTTAAAGATTAATGATTGATCTAATTTGTTTAGCTCGACTTCATTTGAATCGTTCGAGAGATTTCGAATTTAAATTAAACAAATTCGATGAAAATAATATTGCTGAAATTTGAAATGACATTTGGCTTGATTTTTTTATTTGTTCGTTCAATTTTTATTTTTCTCAAATGATTTCTTAAATTATTTTTTCCTCCTACTAAATTAGAATATTTATACTTATATAATTGAACTATAAATAAAAATGTGAAAAATGTATATCAATAATACAATAACTGAGGTGATTAGAGACATTTACCTTATATTTGAATTATGAATTTAAAAAATAGAAAAATAAATGAAATATTAGTTACATTTTTTTTTATTTTTCAATTTTTTATCAAAATTTATATTTCAAACACAATATTAAATTATTTCTACTCAATGATATCCTTATGCATACATTTTTATTATTTTTTATGGTTTAATTATGTATATAGGTACTCAAACTCATTTGATAGACATTGGCAATCTGGCACTATTTGAATTGTAGTTTCAATGGTGGCTATTAATGTTTTCACTTTTCTGAATTTAATTTTTTAAAAATTAAATTTAATATTTTTTTGTATGTTTTTATTTTTAGAGAATATTTTTAAAATTTTAAGCAATTTTTTTTGGGTATGATTGAGACCTCCTCCAATCACCACCCCCACCACCCCCCACACACACGTGGCGGGTGGTGATTGGAGGAGAAGGAAAAAAAAGAAAAAGAAAAAGAAAAACTGACAAATCATGTTAAAAGAGAGTCGAAGGGGGTGGGAGGGAACATTATTGTTTTTTTTTTTACTTGTTTAGATGCATCTTACTAGATGGATCTAAATAGTAAAATATTTTAAAAAATTAATAAATATACAAAAATATGAAAAATGTACTGAATTTTCATATTTTTTTTGAATGTTTGGTATTTACTGAATTTTTTCTTAAAAAAATGTCACAAGTATTATACTTTTTAAATGTATTTATATTAGGTATGTTTAAAATTTTTAAAAAATTACTTAAAATATTAAAAAAATTCAGTAAAAACAAAAAATATGAAAAACGAGAAAATAAAAATTTTTAAAAAGTGAATTCTAAAAATTGAAATCAAACAATTTTTTTCAACTTTAATTGTATTTGTAACAAAATTTGGAATGATTACAACTTCTGTGATTTTGAAGTTCTTCTAATTCTTTTGGGTAAATTACGAGTACATTCTTTGAAGTTTGTTTAAAATACGAATTGTCCCTTATGGTTTGGAAAAATCTCTCTGTCAGAATTTTTTATTTAACAAAATTAATTGAAAAAGTGAAAATTTTAATTGTTCACCTATACAATAATAAAATTATCTGAATTATTAATTGAAAAAAAGTTTTAACATTATTAAAAATTGCTAATTAATTTGATAATTTATTAATAAAAAAACTTATTTGTTATGAAATTAGAAATATTAGGAGACATTATGTAATTTTTAGAATACAGAAAATAATTTGTAATTTAAATAAATTTCAAGGAGTGTGTTTATAATTGACCCAATTTTTTTTTAGGAATTGATTAAAGTCACTTGTTTCTTCGTATTTTTAGAGGATTGGATTCACTATGCGTGAGATGGATAATTTTGAAAATTATTAACTAACAGTTTCATTTCTTGATATTCTGGTTTATAAATTGATAATGGGTGAGAAGGTTAAAAATAGAATGAAAATCAAATAACTAGGGTTATTTATACGGCGATCTCTAAAAGTGAAATATATTAATAATTTAAGAGATTCATTTGAATATTTTTATAATTTAAAAAGATAAAATAATATTTCTCAATAATTTATGAGATCTATTTATATGTTTTATAATTCAAAAAATGGGTAAATTATATAAATAATTTCTGTAGTTTACACGATATGTCAGTTTGGTTCTTATTGTTTCAATTTGTTCGATTTTATCCCTTAATTCAATGGATTGTGTCATTTCAGTCCAATAAATAACGGTTGTTAAGTGTAGTGAACGTAGGAGTGTAAAAATGGTCCGCGGCCCGAAGTTCGTCTACGTCTCGGGATGGGCCCGACCTGTTTAGGCTTGGGCCCGAGTTGAGCCCGAGCCCCTGGGCTTGAGCCATCATTTGGAAGCCCAACCTGGCTCGCTTGGCCCGGCTCGTGGCCTAACCCATCGGCTTGCTTAAGGCCCAGCCAAAGCCTGGCTTGCCCAAGGCTCAGTGTCTTTTTTAGTACAAAATAATAAAAATTTGGTAGAAAAAATTAAAAAAACAAAAAAGAAAAATGGTCAAGCCCACCCAAGCCCGAGGCTAGGCCTAGGCCCACTGTGTCGGCCCACCTAAGGCTCGAATACCCTTGGGCTTGGGCTTGGGTCTAATTTTTTTGGCTTGTGGGTCGGCCCGTCCCGAATTTTGACGGGAGCCCGTGAGGCCCAACATGGGCCGGGCCGGGCCAGATTTACACCCCTAGGTGGACAGAAAGTCAAATTATGTGTCAATTTGGTCCCTATAGTTTACATAATGTGTCTTTAGTTCCTATCAAAATCGAGCAAATTAAAACAACATGGACCAAATTGACACATTGTGTAAACTACATGGACCAAATTGACACATTATGTAAACTACAGTAATCAAATTGACACATTATGTAGACTTTCCATTCACCAAACTTAACAACCGTTATTTATTGGATTAAAATGACATAATTTGTTAAATTAATAGGCAAAATCGAATAAATTGAAATAATAAGGATCAAATTAACACATCATATAAATTATAAGGATCATTTGCATAATTTAACCTTTAAAAAATTAAGATGATGTAATAATTTAAGAATTTCTATATAAATAATGAAATTATAAATGCGTGATTATTCAACCTATTGGTAAGAGCAGACCATCAAACAATCCAAACATTAGGCCTTGGTGCATAGTGGATCCAGAGTACGATCCCAATATAGACATTTTCTTTTTTGGATATATTTATTTATGATTAGATTGCATTTTAAACTCTTAAATTATTTTCCAATTATCATTTTTTATCGTTAAATTCTAATTCTTTTCAATTTGATCTCTCGATTATTGAATTTGTATCAATGTTAATCTAGTTAATCTATCATCAGTTTTCTGACGTTATAGGTCCGTTTGTTTCGATATAAAATATTTTACATAAAACATATTTTTCTTGTAAATTAATTTTACATTAAAAAAATATTTTTGTTTTTGCTTTTCGATATTTGATTGACACTTGAAATAAAAATATTTTATTACTTGAAAGATAAATTTTGATTCAATAAATTGTCATTTATGATTTTCGAATGAGTGAAGATATTTATTTAAAAATATTAAATATATGAAAAATGTAGTAAGTGAGAGTCAATTATGTAAAAATTGACTTGCGAAATTTTTAAAGATAAGTTATTTTTGAAAAAATGATGCAAAAATATTTTTTTTAAAAATGTTTTACTTGTTTTTTCCTTAACCAAACAATGAAAAATAAGTAAAATATTTTTAATAAAATATTTTATATTAAAATAAACAGAGCCTAAATGTCGTGTGGCACTAATTTTTTTATATTTATTTTAGTACTTAACTAGCTAATCTATTTTTATGAATAATATTAGAAATTTCTAATATTGAGTTATTAAATGTCTCCCTCTATCGTAAGATTGAGTTACTAGTCGGTCTTTTAGATTTCTAACCAAATGTGAGACTTTTTTGTTTTCTCACTTTGACCATTTGATTCTGTGCCACATGGCATTTTTTTGTTATTTGATCACAGCTGCCAATTGGACCACACGCGACTAGCCTAAGCCTGTTCGGTATGGTTTGGGCTAACCAAATAATACTTGGTCTGGGCCTAGGTTTTTTAAAAAGACTTTTTGTATACATATATTTAGATACACCTAAAAAGTAAAATTTTTGAGAATAAATATTTTAAAAAATAAATAAATATACAAGAATACGAAAATGTATATATATATATATATATATATTTGTATTTAATGATTTTTTAAAGAATTTTTTTCACAAATATTGTACTTTTAAGTGTTTATATTTGGTTCATCTAAAACTAACAAATTTACTTAAAATATTTTAAAAATCTAATGAAAACAAGAAAACGTGAAAAAAAAAAAAAACTCAATTATAGACATTCCTTTCCCAGCCCAACCCAAAAAAAAGGAAAGAAAAAAAATAAAAATAATTATGTATTTATGTTTGGTAGGACAGAAGAAGAATAATCGTAACCAGAAAAGAAAAAGAAAAACCCATGTCATGTATTCATGTTTGGTACCATGTCATGTATTCATGTTTGGTAGGAAAGGAGAAGAACAATTGTAACCTAAAGTCTTAAATGGTGGGGGAGGGGGAGGGTTCCTTATTTGAATACTGCTCACACTAAAAGCACACGTGGAAAATGAGCATTTTACATTCCTGTTTGGTTTTGGAGTTTGCAAAAATAATTTTTGGATTTTAAATTCGTATTTCTTTAGATTTTAGTGAATTGTTAATTTTTAAATCTTTTTTTTTTAGAATCATTTATTCCAGATATATTTAAGAAATATATAAAATTTGTGTTTTCTTTTTTTTAAATTCACTAAATACACAAACTTATTGCATTTTTTTTTTTTGTATTTAATGAATTCTTTTTAGATTTTTTCACGAATATTTTACTTTTTATGTACATTTAGATTAGGTGTATCTAAAAAATAAAAAAAAAAATGAAGAAAAAAAATCACTAAACACAACAAAACATGAAAAATAAAAAATTCAAAAACTCGAAAAACAGTTTTTGAAAATTCAAAACTAAAGATAAATTTTGAAATTGAATGTGAAGTCTCTGTTATAAAGTTAAAAGTAATGCTACCTGCATTAAAATTGTTACTAAAATTTTTATTAAAACATATCATCATTGAATGTTAAGTTTTTTTTTTTTTTTCAACCCATCATATTTAATTACTTATACTTTTGGTAAATTTTTTAAATAAAAATGTTAGTATCTATAAAATTATTCTAAAGTTAATTCTAAATGTGATTATATGCTCATAAAACTTTAGCATTGAGCTTGTGTTTGGATTTAGAATTTAGATAAGGATTTGTGGAGAGAAATGGGCTGCTTGGGAAGTGAAATTTTAGCCTAAATGCCTAATTTTAGCCTAAAATTTTCAAAAAGATAAAATAGGCTAAAATAGTCAATAAGATAAAATGTTACATTAAATCCATAATCATTTTACTTTTTTACTTACAAACATTACATCCAATTACAAAAAAATCTAATCATCTTTACAAACACAAAAAATTTTAGTCTATTAAAATAGTCAAAAAATTAAAATAACATATTAAAATAGCAAGTTTCCAAACACTTACATAAATGTGCATGAAATGGGAGCAAATTTTTTTTCTTCATTTTCCTCACTTTTTTCTTTAATTTTTTAAATCTATACTCAAATTCATAATTCAAACATTTTTTAAAAAAAATTCATAATCCAAACATTAAGGTTAATATAGCCTTCATATTCCTCATGTCTTCAATTTGAGCCATTATTGAGTGCCTGGTGGAATTGACGTGGCAATGGATCGCACAAAAATTAAGGGTCAATTTATAGTACACGTTGAACATATGTGATACACTCAAAGAAAAGGGAAAATAAGAAAATCTTCAATTGATATAGTTCACATGAGTTGGTTTTTGAAGACTCGACATTCTCATGTTAATTAATTAATTAATTTTTATTTAAAAGCAAAAGATTGGCCTGTTTTTTTGTGTATATTATTCTAAAATCCAAATGAAAAGTTGTTAACCCGTATTGGCTAAGCCCAAAGAACATGGGCTAAGCCTAAACTTTTTGGATCCGGCCAAAAACGTCCACAGACCAGCTTGGGCGGGCTTTTCTAGGGTGATACCGGCCCTAGTCAGCTTTTATGACCTCACCCAACCTCTTTCTCTTTTTAAAGTCAGCCAAATAAAAGATCAAGGACTTAATATGATGAATGAGATGCTCTCCCATCAAATGTATTGTTTTGGTTCGAGTCCTACGTGACGCCATTCTCCTTTTCTATTCTTCTCCTACCAACGGTAAAGATTTAAAAATAAAATTTAAAATCTTAAGCTTGAGTCACGCAATAAGCCATTGAAGTTTGTTCCCTTATTAATTTTAGGATCCTGGAATCCCTTCTTGAGAAAATTTGAACAGCTAACTATTTGCTCACCGTTTATTTTTTTAGATATTTTTACCAAAATAAATGATCCAAACACAATCTTATAACATTATAAATATTACTTATAAAACTTGAAATTAAAATTATTCAATAATTGTGGAGAATTAAAATGATTAATAGGGTCACTGATAGTCATTGGTCGCTAGTCATTGGTCGCTAGTCTTGTAAGTGTCCAAATTGACTTTATGTAGAAATTATTTGGTTCTCCTAGAATAATGTCCTAACACTTTCAGAAGACACATGGTCGCTTGAGATGTACTTCCTAAATATAAGGATCTTTCTGAAAAAAGTGTAAAAAATTAAACTGACTGAAAAGAAATTTTTAGCTAATGAATAAGAAAGAATTGTTAATTTTTTTGGGGACGGATTGAAAGTTTTTTGAATTTTTTTTTATATTATTTTTTATTAAAATAATCATTTACCAAATCAGCTCTTAACAAAAAGATGGATGTGTAACTTAAATGTAATTATTGTATATTGCAATTCACATATCTAATCAATTGCAAATTATCCATTATTCTTTCTAAATATTTTAAGTCTCTAACATTACCATATATGATATTGTGTTAAATTTTTGTCTCCAACATGCTTTAAACTTTTATACCAGTATTGATAATGATATTGAAAATGACGATTTGTGCCCACGTTGTTATTCACATGTTTTTCCCTCCACCTAGAACGCATGTATCATGAACCAACAAACCATTTTGGATTAAACTGCAGAAAACAGACGAGTACAAGAGCATGATCCGACACCATGTAGATCTCGAAACAATCCGAAACAGGCTCGACAAAGGTTCCTATTCCACTTCCACCATCAAAATCCACCGCGATCTCCTTCTCCTCGTCAACAATGCGCTCGTCTTCTTCCCCAAGGCATCTCCAGAATCAGTGGCCGCCATTGAACTTCGCGACCTCATCACAAAAGAGATGATAAAGAAGAAGAAAACCCAGAGGTACGATTCTTCACCAGAACCCGGTCCGTCAAAGAAAGCTGCACTCCAACACAAACCCAAACCCAAACCCAAATCCGACACAGAAACATTCGACTCATTGTTGGCAAAACACAAGTCTTCAGTTCCGTTAATAGTCTGCCGTAAACGTAGTTCCATCTCAGCTAAGGTGGCAGAGAAACAAACCAACGAGAAACAAAAACCTAGTCTGATGAATCCGAAGCCACTGGTGAAGACTTCTGCGAATGTAGACGAAGAGAAAGAGAATCTGACGAAAGTGAAGATGAAAGAGAAGCCGGTTACGGGTACGAGGAGCTTCAGAAGGAGCAGCAGCAGCAGCAGCAAAGGCCGTACAGATATTGATATTGATCATGAAAGGATTACGAAACCTAGCTCGAAGAACGCTAGTGGGTCAGCTGAGAAAGGAGAGGCTCTGAAAGCAGCTGATAAGAAGAAGAATGAGGTGGCGGTGAAAAAGCAAGGGGCAGCGGATTTTTTGAAGAGGATTAAACGGAACTCACCGTTGTCGAAAGGGACGGTGTTGAACAACCTGGTGAAGAGCAAAGGAAGTGATGCTAATAATGGTGGGAGGAAAGAGGAGAAGAAGAGAGGGAAAGAAAGTGACGACAAAGCGGAGTGGCAGTGGTAGCGGCAGCGGCAGCGGTGGTGGTGGAAAACAGGTGAAAGAGGAGAGTAGTCTGTCGAAGAGGGGAGTGGGAAGGCCGCCAAAGAAAGGGAGGGATGCGGGTGGGACGAAGCGTGGGAGGGAAGGTAGTGGTGGGGAAGCGGAGGCGGGTGGTAAAAGGGCTAAGAAACGATCTAGGAGGTGAAAGAAACGAGTCCGGGTTTTGTAGAATGTGAATGACTAGATTTAATTTTATAAAAGTTAAAAGTCGCTAATCAAAGTTGAGGAGCTATACAAAGTCATTCTAAATCACTTCAAAAAAAAAAAAAAAAGAAAAAAAATTTTACTTTTTGAGGATTCGGACTCCAGAGAAATGGTGGTGTAAATTACATGTAGGATTGGTGTAGTAGTTTCCTTGTTCTGTGGGATGAAATCTTTGGTGGTTTATGTAAACTATTATATGTATTTTTTATTTTTATTTTTAATACATAGGATATTTGTTTTGACAGAGGAAAGCACCAAAAGTTAACTTATTGTCTGTTCTTAATGAATTTTCTATCTTCTTTATTTTTTAAATTGCAATATCACAAGACAATAAAGTATAATAAATAATAATTATAACATGAAAATAGTATTCAAAATTGTAA